TCAAAATGTTTCATATTATATTTATAGCCATTTAATTAATAATTTTAACAGTAGTTATTAGTTATCTGTAGCCTTATTTGGATACACGTGGATATGGTATGCTTCTTGTCCCTCACTGAACTGCTGAAAAGTACTCTTTAATGGTAATGTTTATGAGTATGAATGGAAAGCTTTCTGTGGGTTTTGGGGAATATTTGTTTAAAGTTCACTGTTTTTTTTCCGTTTTGTTGCAATATTCATACACAGATGAATAAAGCAAATTACATGGAATCACAATCATTCCTATAAAGAGAATTCCAGTTTCTAATGCAAAAAGGAGGTGTACAGCTTTAGGCACGTGGAAGTTCTCTCTGCAGCTGACCACTGTGTGTGAGCAGGGAGATAAATGTGATGGCGTTCTGTTTGGCTTTCACATCAGGTCAATTCTTTCCTTGCACCAATTGACTTACTCTGGAATCGGCACTTCTAGTGCTGAGAGACTCTGCCTTGCAGTTATTGTCATCCTCCCTCACGGTGCTGCTGATAGTGGGTGGAAACGATACTGAAGTTCTGGCTGTCAAAATCTAACCCTTATTTATACATGTGCAAATACTCATCCAGATGCATATATTTTTATGTGCTATTGTTAGAGCCATATAAACGGAATTTCACTGTTTCTGAAATTTGAAAAACTTAAATTCGTATTCACACAATGTATTTGAAAATATTGTATAAATGCAAATGATACTGTATTTATCTAAGTAGATACTGATTTTTTTCTAAATGCAGAACCAAGTACTTTTATCAAAAAAAAAAAAAAAAAAGAAAAAGAAAAAGAAAAAAGAAAAAAAGCTGCCGTTTGTCACTAGTGATACAGAAATAGTAGCCTGGTAGTAGCCTGGATTCAGTTACACTGTCATCTTTCAGAAGTTTGAGTTGAAGGTGGCTGAGCTACCAACATGAAATATGGTGTCAAGATGCACTGCATGCTGACAGGATTTGGAATGGGTAAACATTAGTCAGTAACTTTCCTAGAACCTTAGTTTTACATAATACCTTGAACAGGATACCTAAGCAAAAATACATTTATTAAAAAGCTAAAAAAGTCATTCAAGTACTCAAAATAACATCTCTGAATCCAGTCTTGCAGTCTTAAGACAGATCTCTCAAAGGCTATCCTTGCTTTCTTATTTTTTCTGTCTTTTCCCGTACTTCTAGCACTATTATAGCACTAATTAAAAAAAAAGTTTATGACAACACAGCTAGGATTTAGGAGACAAAAGCCTCAATTCCAACTTCTTTATTTCTTTTGGATTATGCTAGGGTGACTTCTGCTTAGTGTATAGACTTTATTTCTCAGTGGAGCTGGGTAGTCCTTTCCAGAGTAGCAAATAACTAACGCTTTGCAAATAAAATAACCCAGGGTTACACAAGTTCACTTGCTGTAGAGCTACAAATAGAATCTAGACCTCAGTCACAATGGATTTCATGCTGGTTGTACCAAATCATGTTCCTCCTTGGGGCGTTTGTTACTGCTGCTAGAGCACACATTACTCCCAGCACTAGCAATAGAGCCTGGCGCTACCCTGTATTTCACTGCTGTCTCTGTTACGTTGCTCAGAAGCCAAGTCTGTGTTGTATCTCTTCCCGAGAGCTGCCCGCACACATTAAATATCTGACCTCAGTTACCGGTCACTCCGCTCACTCAAATGAGAGAGACCTGGGGTAAAGCTTTGAAGATCTTACCTTTAAGTGCTGCTGACTGAACATGCAAGAAAAGCAGTATGTAATCAAAGACTAGCATAACGGTTACAAAGGAAACTTTAATTCTTGTATTTTTAAGCTTTTAAAAGCTTGACCATTCAGAATTCTCTTTTAATATTATTTCTCCTATGTGAACTTACCACAAAACTTTCAAACCCATAATTTTCTAAGGTCTTCACATAAAGAGACAGGGTTTTCATTCTTGCTATGCCAGCCATGTAAATTTAAGTGTAGATGTCCCCATTCCAGTAATATATAGTCCTTAGAAGAATTACTACAATAATTCTATAACTGATAAATTATAACCAATTACAGCTAATTAATTAAAACTGAAAAGTCTTTTAGATGTGAAACTACATATGTGATTTTAGGTTACTTCTGATATTTATTTTTACCATTTGCTTTTACCTTGATTACTAAAAATAAAAAGTATCCTTTTTCAGGATATCAGAGGTCATTTCATTATCGAGCCATTTTGTTTCAGAAAGAGGGTTACAAACAATAAGCAGTAGGTTGTATCTGTCAACTTACATAGTGGTAAATTGTGCTTACRTAACCTCCAAAGTGGCAGAACTTTGCAGAGGACTCTTAATTTTATGAGGAGGTAGCCTTATCTAAGATGAATTCAGCCGCTCTCCTTCCATGGGCCTATACAACAAATTCACCACAAGACTGACATATTTTGCAAACTCAGATGAGACATCAGAATGATTGAGCTACATAGATTAAAACTGGCCTGGATTCAGCCAGCCTAAATTCCATGCAAGACCGTGCACCAGTCCTTGCTATTGCCTGCTTCTAGACACCGTTGCTGTGGAGAAAGTCAGAGTCTGCCCCGCAAGGAATACAAGGAATGGGCTGTTCTTGGGTGAGAGCAGGACAGCAAATCTTCATTACTGTCCAGAAAGTCCCACTTGGCAAAGAAATGTTCATTAAGGCCAAGAGAAAAAGAGTTAAGAGGAGAAAGAGCAGAAAGTCTCTATGCTAATGTTATTACACTTCTTCAGGAGATGGACTACCACAACACGTTCAGACATCTTATTGAGCCACATCAGTCCAGCTAAACTAAGCACCAAATTTGTCCTATCCAAGCTATCTTGCRGAAGTAAGGCAAAAAAAGATACTGTTGATTGTCTTGTTGATTCTTATTGTATTGCAAAGAGTTAAGGTAGGGCTTCACTGGTATTTAGATAAAACTCCACCAAATCTCTCCAGAAGAGCAGTGGTATAGTTCTGTAAATTAATTTTCATTCCTAAATGCACTCAGTGAAGGCATTTAGCTCCTCTCCAAGTAGCTAAATTTTTGCAGGATACTTCCTTTTATCATGTTCTAGGTATGTTAGTTACCATTGGTTTTAGCAGGTACCATGGAAGGTCACTTAACAAAACAGTAAGATGAGTAACAGCATCAAAATAAGTTTGAGATCCTATGTTTTCAATACTGCAAGCAGTATTATGATTAAAAGTACAGAAGTGATTATTATTTTGTTGTCCTTTAATAAAATATTATTTAAATGAAGTACTCTCTTAGTAGGAGATTGACAGGGCATTTGCGCCTCAAGTAAGCATCTAATCTGCCTCTAGAATTAGAGAGCTCTAGAATTTATGAGGGATGTATATACATAAATACCATTATGTACATAATTTCTCTTAAACAATAATAACTGTTTATACATATTGGGACATATTTTGGCTTGGCAACAAGCATGCAGTTGTGACAGCTATTGGAAAATGTGGGCATGTACGCTAAGGCAACATTTGTCTTGATGAGGTGTTAATATACCCATAAATCTCACAAATAAGTTGTAGTACATAGGACATTTAACCTTCTATTAACTTGCATATACATGAGTTTTTGACAGCTAAATGAAACATCTGAAAAAGTTGTGAAAAACATCTTTGTTCAAGCTTTTTCTCAAAAGGTGTTTGATTTTTGTTGTCTGTATTTTTGGAATTACAATGCCTTTACTACTAAAAATATGGTTTTTCATCCCTCTGTTTACAGTGCTCCCACTGAAATTGAGTCAAACCAGACAACTGAATGAGATTTCTGAACATGGAAGTTTTATGTATTGTTTGTAATGTGTTTTAGGATATTTTAACATGTTATTTGATAACAATAAGTGCCTTCATGGAGATTTTTCAAGTTGTATAAGAGACAGAAAAATGCAAGGGTTACCCCTCCCCAAAAAGGCAACAAAAGCCTAACACACCCATAATATCATTAAAATCCTACTGATTTGTCTCACCAAAATTATTAGCAGAAGCAGTGAGCATTTTGCACCCCAGACATCTTAACAGCCATTCATTATCCTTTACTATTGTCAACACAACCAATTTTTTAAATACTCTATAGGGAGGAACAATTAGTGAAAGTTATTACATAATAATTAATATCTTTTCAAGACCAGACTGTTATCCAAAGTGAAGAGGGCATACATAATTTATGTAACCTCAAGGAAGCAGAATGAGACCGATATACCTCAGACCTCAGTGTATATGCTGCTGCTTTATAGCTGCAATCGTTTAAAGAAAACATTTCAAAAGAACATTTTAAAGCAATCAAATTAGTTTCCAKGCATATCATTGCCAAATCACACTTGCCTTACTTCTGTGTATAAGCCCCAGTAGGGTTGATTCTGCTCTCATTTTATAATCAGGCTTACCCTACTATAAAAATCATTGCAACTGAAACCTCTTCTGATGTATACCAGGTTAAGGGAAAGCAGAATCCAATCGCTTTTTCTACCATGAAGCGTAGGTCCTTGCAGTATCAGACTGTACAAGCTTAACTGTCCCCATTCTCATTTYAAATTGTCTGTTTTTCTTTTAATGGGACCTCTGAGGGTTGTAAGGGCTCTACAAATTAACTGGAAGCAACAACATTATTGTATTTGCCATTATTCTGTGGGCTGTTAGGTAAATAACTTTTTAGTTAATCTTCACAGCAACTTCAAGAAGGTGCTTCACTGTGACAGAAGTCTGCAATATTATTGTTAGCAAAGCTGTCCATCAGCTTTTGTCCTGCACCTTTCAGTTCCCTTGACTAAATATCCCTCAGAAGGGAATTTAAGTTTACTATGTCTCATAGAATGATGATCTCCCCAGGTTTACCCCCTCTCCTGGCCTTTTTTTATTTATTATTTATTTATTTATTTGGCTTCAGGCATATAGAACTTTTGCCAGGCTTGACATTGTCAACACACAGTCAGCTGGACATACATCACTTGGGCTTTCTTGCCTTTCAGCAGTGTTACCTTAGATTGGCAGAGGAGACCTCATGCTGGTCTAATTCCAGGAATAATTCCAAACAGACATCTCAGTCATTCTCCTCAAGAAGGTAAGCTACCAGCTGCATACTGCTCTGAAACATAGAATTATCAAGTGTATTAGACAAAGATGTTTGTTGTAAAGCGTCCTCATTTTTCTTGTTTAAATATAATTTTAAAGGACAAAATCTTCTTCATTCTACGTGCAATACACTAATGCAGACGTGTGCTTATCTACCAAACGAAAATGAATCATTCATTTTATAGATAGCAGGACACAAAAATAATTACACATTAATGTTTCAGATATTTGGCTGTTTAACATTCTTGTTGTAACAAATTCATTTATATTCGAGTAAAAGGACAAATGAAGTAGCAATATCAAGTGGCCTATGTATATGAACAGCACTGGAAAACCCTTAGTTTTAACCCTAGTTCTGATAACATCTTGTACTTGACCTCTAATAAACTCTTCTACGTCTGTGTGTATCCCCATTTCACAGGAATAGAGATAATAAAGATAATTTACTCTTGGACACAGTGACTGATTGTGAGGCTTATTACCTCAGTGTATATATACACACTATTTTTAAGGCATTATGCAAAAGGTGTTGTTATTAATGGAGATTCATGTACGCAATCTCTTTCAGAAGAGTATTTACTGGAATCAAAATTAGATTAGAGCTTAAGGAACTTGTAAAATAACTTTGCAGGAGTAAAAAGTATCCATTTAGCTTAGATTTTATATATACATACATATATAGTACTTGTTACCATTTTATCAGTAGTAGCTCCAAACTACCTAACATTTAACCTAAGAGACAAGAATAATCTATTAGGCCATTTTTCAAGTGCATGGATACAGGAAACCTACATATTTAACCATCTTGTTAATCTGAGCATTGGGTTTGTATTAGAGTTCAAACTTCCTTAATCGTTTGCAGTGCCCAGGTGCTGATTCTGTTCTGAAATTGTTCTACTGTCAGAGAGCTCCATACACAGGAAGCCTCTGACCCGCATCTCAGTTCGGCCCTGTTAGGCAACAAGGACTTCGTCACTTAAGCCACTAGCCACTCAAAACTCCAGATCCTGATGCTCTGCATGTAGAAAGGCAGACAGAGCAATTGCTAATCCCATATTCACTACGAAAAGTATCTAAAGAGTTACAAAAGATTAGTCTTCCATTAGCACTAAAGTTCAAATAATCGTAGTCTTGTTGACAGGCCATGCAGAACTGGAGAGAGGGAAAAGAAAAAAAAGAAATAAAAGAAATAAAAGAGAGAGAGAGAGAGATAAACAGAGAGAGAGAGAGAGAGAGAGACTTGAGCCAGGTAGGCTCCAAACTCAGAGTAGTGATAACACCCAAAACTTCTTAGAAAATCTTAAATCTGATTGTGTTCATACCACATACATACAGTGGAATCACATCAAAGTCCTACTTCAAAGCACACCAAGTAAATAAAAGAAAGAAGTAGACTACTGAAAAACACCTGCAAATAGCTTGTGTTRAAACACTGAAGTTATATAAGTAGGATGACAATCTTTTATACAGCAAGCTGTAAAACCTAGGAGTTGTCCTCTACTCTTTAACCTAAGTTTTGGGTCTAGGAATCTTGGATTTTGGTTCTCTGACCTTGGTTAAAAATAAATTAAAAAAAAAAAATCACATACTCCAATTTCCACAGCGAGTGGGAAAAATATATAAATATATATACACATATACATACATGCACACACATTTTTGAGAACAAAACTAAAAAGATGACACAGGATAGGAAACCTTAGTACAATTAATGCCTATACTTATTTGCATACTGAAAATGGGCTTATGAGTGAACATGGGCTTTATACAGTAGAGCAACTCACACTTTGTCCATTGTCATATTTTTAGCATAAGAAAGGCTGGAATCACATATTCCTGTAGGACAGACTGTTCTTCTCTCCTTTATAGATCAAGAAGGGTTCTCCTGTATTTTTAAATTTCCCCTTTCTGAGGACARTTTCTTCTAATTGCTGAAGTTACTTAAATTGGCTTCATTCACATATGCAGAATCACAACACACAAGATCAAAAAGTGACCTTTAATTGCAGCCCAGAGTTCAGCAGAGAGAAACAAAAAACAAAACAATAACAAAAAATAAAAGCCACACAACAGAAAACCACTACAAAGATGTGAACATGGAAGAAAAATCTCAAGACCCCAAGGCTGAGAAATTTTCTTTCTAGAATTTGGATTCATTGAGGTTATGTAAAAGAGTACATCTTTTTTGGAATTCATTAGATAAAATTACCATGACAGAATACTGCACTTGAATACTGTCCTAACATAATAATTACTTGCTTTGTAGAACTGTATACAAAATACATTTTAGTATGAGCAGTGCTGAATTATTATAGGATTGCAGGTAGCACATGTAACCCTTCTAAAACTGAGAATGTCTCAAGCTGAGAAAAGGATGCAAAGGCATTCACCATTTACACCTCCAAGACACTACCATTTATACAAGACATTCAATGGAGCACTGTAAAATAAGTTGGGTGTTTTTTTTTTTTTTTTTTTTTTTTTTTTTTTTTTTTTTTTTTTTTGCATTTTACATTTCAGAGGTATGCAAGTGAAGTATAGGCAGAAACATCCACTATCTATGTCCTCCAGATATAGTCATTCTTTGCAATGAAGTATGTTAGCATACAAAATATGAGAGTATACTCCTGCCAAAAATATTCCTCATCAGTGCTTTGGTAATTTTTTTAAAACATATTCATTATTGTCTTTCCACTCTACCCCCTTCAAAAGGGATCACAACCAAAACCACTACTGTACCTTAAAGAGCTGCTAATCTTCCACCATTCATATTCAAGTTTCTCAGCCTTTAACCTCCRCCTTTCAGCTCCAGGTTGCAATGGAAAACATACTTGTTCTGTATATTTGCATAGCTGCCATGACAATGCTGTACTGTATATACCCATGATACATATAGCTACTTCATAAAGCTATCTCCCCTTTCGAGCACCACGGCACAACTAAAGCAAGTGAAGTCAAGCACTTGCGTTAGGCTCTGAGCTGTCAAGCACCAGCGCAGGGCGCACCAGTGAACCCTGCAGGACTCCACACATTTCCCTGGAGCCAAGATGCCTACAGGATAGAGACCTTTGCCATCAGTTAAAGCATAAATTATTTCAGCTTTGCTTCTAAGTCTATCTATAAACAAAATCCAGCTTTCTCCATCATTGCAAATGGTAAAAGAACTGCCACTCAAAATTGGAAGCACCCAGCCATTCCTGATATTGATAAAACAAAGGACCATTCAGCAGGAGCATCCCAACCCAGCTAACCCTTTGGAAAACACAACTCAAAAACAGAAGCTAAATCACAAACATAGTGTCAGCATTTTGCCTTTACCTCTGCTATCCTTAAACCATTCCCATCAATATGCCAGTTTACAAAGAACATATTCTTCACTATGCTCCTTACAAGCTGTCTCCCCATTGCTCTCCCTGAGGATGAGGGCTGCTCTCTGTGGAACAAATGCTTCTCCAGGCAAAGCCACAAAACAGGGCACACCTGTGCTGGGGCAGTCGCACAYAGAGGTAGCTATCAGGCCTCCTAAGTGCAGTTCAGCAAACAAGACCTCAGTGCTGCAGTGCCTATGTTTAATGTTATGCATGTGAGTCATCTGAGTACCCTGAAGGGGACTCTTGCATACACGAGCACTCGCAAAATGGCGAATGATATATTTTTAATGGACAGGAAGGAGCAGCTCAGAAGCTGAATCTCTTACAGCTCTTAAGAGTTTTCTGTTTTTTTCTCCTCATTGATTCACATGATATTATTTCTAGTCTTTAGTTTGACTACTTAAAGTAAGTAAATAAAGTAATAGGTCTGATTTGGGCTGACTCTCTTTAGCCAAAAAGAAAAAAAAAAAAAAGAGAAAATGGGGATTATCAGTAGGCATATATGTTTAAGAAAATTCAAGGCTGACTTTCCATGTGTTTAAACACATACAAACACACACATACATATATATGTATATACATGTTCATACGTATACACACCCCAAGCGTATTATATTTAGCTGGGTATATGTTAGGTTCCAAATTACTAGAATCTCTTTATCCTATGAAGGATAGAACTACACCTACAAAAAGATTCATTAACTGGGAGTATTCAAGAGATTATTTTTATTTCTTATCACATGTGTATATGATTCTTCCACTATGTACTGAGTGAAGAAAATTAAGTCTCAAACAATTTTTCCTTAGTGTATGAAAATCAATTTCTCATAAAGTCAGATTCTTAATGTAACTTCAACTTCTGGAAAATACAGTGCAGTGAAAATCAATACTTTCCCACAGATTCTCAGGCTCTTAAAACTAAATGTTTCTAAAGTTCCTTGACAAAATAAGGAAAAAAACCCACAAATTTCATTAAGGTCATCCGAAAAGACTGTTCTAAATAATGATTTTAGTTACAAATGCCATATAATAGATTTTAGCAAGACATTTATCAACAAATGATAAATGTTAGAGTGTTAGAGATAAATGATAAATGCTAGAACTGCAACTATTAGAAATGCAAACTTGTAATTTTTAGTAGTGATAAAAACAGAATATTTGCCATACTAACGGGAAGAGGTTTCCCTTTCCAATGAAGATATTAAACAGCCCCGTTTGTCGGTCCAGGCTGCTTAACAAGGGGTGTTCCAGTAGCAGCAGGTTCAAGAGAGCGCTGCATGACTCATCTCTCCCTCCCCAGGGCAAAGGCCCCTTCAGCATCCTCCTGTATGTCAACATCCCGCTGCTCCTGTTGCAGACACTGAGCCTCCTTTGGAGCTCGTTCCTGCTCTGACAGCAGCCTCAGGCCCTCATTGAGCTGCCCGGCTCCAATCCAGGTTTCCACCGCCCTGCAACAGCCCCGCGCCAAGCGGCTGCTGTTGCCCAGGAGATGCTGCCGAGGAGCGCGGCACTCGCTGCCTCTCCCACCTGCAATGGCCTCGCTCGCACTTGCTCCTCACACTTGCCTTTTCCCAACGCAATTCCCACGTAGGAATGGGGACGGACAAGCCAGGCCCTCTGCGCAGTGCATAAAGACC